TGACCCTACACAGTGTGTCCAGAGATGAGTGACCCACACCCATCACGTTCAGATGGTGCTGGTTTATATCAATCAGCTCCTGATGACAAATGACACACAAAGAAATGTCTTAAAAAGATCAATATAATCAATACATCCATTCATCAGGGCTTTCGTGGAATAAAAAATATTGATTTGTTTCTTTGGTCTTTTGGCACTTTTTATTTAAATAAAAGTCAAGGAAGGACAGAAAATTATGGGCAGAGACGGATGAAGAACAGGATAATTCAAACTTGCCTCACCCTTGTGCCCACCACAAATCAACGAGTAAATGCGCAAACTGCCATGTGTCCGACAACAGAAGAGTATCTTTGCTCTTGTGTAATGTAACAAGATTTGCAGCAATACAGTGTAATAAATTAACTGATCCTGATACAAGGTGTTCACTACACAACATTTTCAAATGTGATAGATATGAGTCAGATTGTACAATATGACCCAGTAACATCTTGGCTTAAAACAAAAGCACACTGTGCAACATCATGTGGATCATGCATCATATGTGACACTGAAGACTGGAGTAATGAATTAAAAACAATTTAAAAAATACCAACCCCACATTTTTTAAACAGTATTAAATCGCAAAAGCAACTGCTCATTTTCCCTATCATGACAGAAAACATTATGATCCCGAAGATTTGTCTTAGAAAAATTGTGCCAAAAATGTAAAACAAATGTCTGGCACAAATGATAAATAATATACACCTATTGATAAATGCACACTGCTAAAGGTTCCACCTTCTTTATGAAGGAAAATTTGTGTGTGTGATTGTACCTCCAGTATGTCGTAGTGCTCAGCCGATGGTCCGTGCGCGGCCATCTCTGTGAGAGACTGTTCACAGGTGCAGGACACAGCACTGACAGACTCCAGAACTGGATTCATTATGGAGGGAAACTGCAAAATAACACAGCACAAAGAAATATAAGTAAGTGCTGTACAAACATAGGTGAGGGAACAAAATTTTTCACCGAGAAAAATGATCAGCTTAAGCTCGTCACATCAAAAGATAATTATAATTGTCAGCCTTAGTCAAGCAAAATATCACCATACATCTGCTACTCAAACTCTTGCTATTTGACTATAAAAGAGTCCAATGTACTATGACAACATTCTCTAACATCCATCCATCCATGATATTGATATTTCTCAGCTCTGAACTGAATCAATGAGGTCTTAGCTTTTAACAGATGACTATGTGACTGAGGTGACCAATGAAAATTAACTGTGGGCGGGGTTTGTACTCAGCTGATTTGGGGGGAAAATACAAGAACAACAGTGATTTTTTTGCCACCTACTGGACAGGAGTGTGAAGTACTAGTTAGCACACAAGAAATACATGGCACACACCATGATTTTAATGTTAAAATTGCCATTTTTTGCTGACACTTACAGTCAAGTTGAAGCATGATGTACTGCAATCGTACTGAATTCAATCAACTGGATATTCTTTAAATTATCTCCTTTTATGTTCCATGGAAGAAGGAAAGTGATGCAGATGATTTTTTAAACCATTCCTTTAAAGCAAATTCTAAAAGATGGTGGAAACGGTTGGGTAAAACTAAATTTCAATTGTTTATGACTTACTTCTTTGACTATTAATGACACAAAAGTGTAGAATATTACCCCTTTAAAGTCTGTCCTGACTCTTTGCTGTTTTCCATCACAATAATACCGGAATTCCACTTCACCAATCAGGATGTGCCAGCAGTAAGGCTACCTGCTGCCGTGGTCACGGTAACGGAACACAGGAGCGTTGGCAGAGTGTTTCATTTGGAGCTCTTATAAAAGGCACTCAGCACCGGGCCCCTGGAGTGTTCCTCCCTCACACACACGTGATGCTAATTGAAGGGCACAGGAATAAAAAC